GCTACAAAAGTTGGGTATTCATCCTTTCTGATGGAGGCATAATACTCCATAGTGTATATGGACCACGTCTTCCTTATCCATTCGTCCATTGAAGGGCATCTTGGTTCTTTCCACAGTTTGGCGACCATGGCCACTGCTGCTATAAACATTGGGGTACAGATGGCCCTTCTTTTCACTACATCTGTATCTTTGGGGTAAATACCCAGTAGTGCAATTGCAAGGTCATAGGGAATCTCTATTTTTAATTTCTTAAGGAATCTCAACACTGTTCTCCAAAGTGGCTGCACCAACTTGCATTCCCACCAGCAGTGTAAGAGGGTTCCCCTTTCTCCACATCCTCTCCAACACATCTTGTTTCCTGTCTTGCTAATTTTGGCCATTTTAACTGGTGTAAGGTGGTATTTCAATGTGGTTTTAATTTGAATTTCCCTGATGGCTAGTGATGATAAACATTTTTTCATGTGTCTGATAGCCATTTGTATGTCTTCAGCAGTTTTTACCCCTCCTCTAGCTGAACTGCCTGCCTTCCCCCCAGCGCCCCCTCAGGCTGCCAGTCTGTTGTCTTTCTCCCCTCACACACATCACAGCACGCTTGGATTGTGGGTTTGGTTTCCTGCCACTAGTCTTGTCCCCACCCCAATCTCTTCAGCATGCTGCAGCTCCTGGGATCTAGAAAATGCAGATCTGACCATGTCTTTCCCACGCCTAAAATACTTCAACGACTGCCTTAAAATTTTTTTCACTTGCCTTTTTTTTTTCCGTAACAGCTTTGAGATACAATTCAGATATCGTATAATTCCCCTATTTAAAATGTCCAGCTTAGTGGTTTTTAATTTATGGACAGAGCTGTGCATCCATCACCATAGTTCATCTTAGAGCATTTTTGTCACCGCGCTGAGAAACCCTGTCCCCTTTAGCCACCACCCTCCCATTCCTCTGTTCCCGTCCAGCCCCTGGCACCCGCTTCAGCTGCTTCCTGTCTCTGTGGATTTGCCTCTTCTTGACATTTCATGTAAATGGAATAGTACAATATGTGGTCTTTCTGTGACAGCTCCTTTTACTTCCCAAGGGCCATCTGATGTTGACAGCACAGTGACTTTTGACGCATTTAGAAGTCCCCTGTGATCTGGTGTCTCTGTACCTCTCCAGGCTGAGTTCTCAGGGCTCATTGCCTTGTACTTCTGCTCCAGCTGAACTAAACCTACACAAATGTGCCGCGTTGTTCCCTTCCTGAAACACCCACACCCTCCCTTCTTTTGGCTGGCTAACTCATGTCCTTGTGGTGTCCTTCATTCCTTGACACAGTGCTGTGTCCTTTGGGAAGTTTCTTCTGATCCTGCATGCCTTGCTATGTGCTGCTAGAGCCTGCCACGCTTTGTTCTCGGCCAGGGCTGTCACTGCCACGGGCTCGTCTGTGTCTACCTCTGGGCCACAGCTCTAGGGAGCGGAGTCATCTTCTACCCCCTGCAGGATGCTTGGCCTGCACACAGTGGGCTCTCAGAGTCCCGGCCCTTGGACCTCCTTGAAAGAGACATCGAGTCTGGCCTTCTCTTATCCTTTATGCTCTGGAATCTGCCCTCACTGCTCCCTGAACTCTCTCGAAGGTCACCAGCCACTTTGTCATTTGTTCTCTTTTTCCTCAGTCTTGCTGCAGCATTTGTGATGGTTAAATACCTCTATGAAGTTCTCTCCTGTTTTGCCCATGACATGACATTGCCTTTGTCCTCCTCCCACTTATGTGACTTTCTTTAACTCTTTCCTCTGGCTCCTTGTCCTCTAAGCCCATAAGGATGGGTCTTTCCCCTGTTCAGCATTCAGGCTCTTCTCTCTGCTTTGTCCTCTACTCCTGCAGCTTTATCTGTCACCTATGTGCAGACAAATGATCACCGTCTGTGTCACTTGGAGCCCTCCCCTGAGTCTTACATGTATTTCCAACAGTGCCACTGACCTTGTCACCCAAATACACTTCCTGTGCTATCAGCCCACCTGCCCATGGGTCACCATGCTAATTTGAGCCCTTAAGTATTGACGTACTTATGCCCTGGTTGACTCTGAGCACCGCCCTACCCTGTCTTCCACCTCACCTCCCTCCACACTTCGTGCTTTCACTTGGCCCAGTTTGTACACACATATTGAATACCTACTGCAGCCAGATAATCTTTCTAATGTGTAGTTTGGGTCATTTTCTTCTCAGCTCAGAACCTCAGAATTTCACCTTCCACCAGTCAGAATGGCTTGATTCAGAAAGACAAGAAATAACAAGTGTTGGTGAGGATGTGGGGAGAAGGAACACCTGTGCACTGTTGGTGGGAATGCAGACTGTCATAGCTGATGCGGAAAACAGTATGGAGGTGCCTGAAAACATTACCGATGGAATGACCATATGATTCATTCATTCCACTACGGGGTATTTCCCCAGAGAAGACAAAGACACTAATTCAAAAAGACATATGCCCCCCTGTGTTTATTGCAACATTATTTATAATAGCCAGGATAGGGAAGCAACCTCAGTGTCCATCAGTAGATGAATGGATAAAGATGTGGTGTAGCTATACAATGGAATACTACCTAGCTATAAAAAAAGAATGAGAACTTGCCATTTGTAACAACATGGATGGAGCTAGAGAGTATTATGCTAAGTGAAATAAGTCAGACAGAGAAAGACAAATACTACATGATTTCAGTTATATGTGAAATCTAAAACACAAATGAACAAACAAAAAGCAGAAACAGACCCATCAATACACAGAACAAACTGGTGGTTATAGAGGAGAGGAGTGTAGGGAAGGCAAAATGGGTGAAGGGCAGTGGGAGATTCAAGCTTCTAGTTCTGGAATGAGTAAGTTGCAGCATAGGGAATGTCATCATTGGTATTGTAATCACATTACATGGTGATAGGTGGTAGCTGTGCTTGAGTGAGCATAATTTAATGCATAAACTTGTTGAATTACTAGGTTATTACAATATTAACATTGTGTGTCAACTCTACTTCAATTAAAAAAAAAAAAAAACAAACCCAGGGGCGCCTAGGTGTCTCAGTGGGTTGGCCTCTGCCTTCAGCTCGGGTTGTGATCTTAGGGTCCTGGAATTGAGCCCCGCGTTGGGCTCTCTGCTCAGCGGGGAGCCTGCTTCCCCCTCTCCCTCTGCCTGCCTCTCTGCCTACTTGTCATCTGTCAAATAAATAAATAAAAATCTTTAAAAAACAAAACAAAAACCAACATAGCTTAAGTGAAAAAAAAAATACACAAAACCTTCAGGGTCTACCTTTGCCTACTAAATTGAGTCGAAATTCCTCAGGTGGCATCCCAGACCCCATTTTATAAATGGCTTACGTTGCCTTTTTGACCACTTTTATTGTATTCCTAATATTCAGGCCAGATCCCCCACCTGGCTTGCACCTGAATACCCACACTGCACAATACGATAGCCTGTGTCTCCTGCAGCTGTTTAAACTGAAAGCAGTTCAAATTAAATAAAATTTGAAATTCAGCTCCTCGGCCACATTAGCACATTTCACATGCTCACTAGCTACACGTGACTGGAGTCTGCCTGCTGAGTAACACAGGTCCATTTCCATCACTGCGGGACGTTCTTTTGGACAGCCCTGGTCTGAGCCTTTTCGTTGCTGTTCATTCTGGCTGGCGTCTCCTCCTCTCCTCACCATCTCTACCCGTGAACATTTTCTCCTTCTGCAGGGCCGCCCACCTCGTGTTCCACCTCTTGCACACAGCCTTTCCTGATCATTCCTTTCTGCATGAGATGCCCCCACCCCTTCCCTTTAGAGCCTTGGTAGTATTTTACCCGTGTTTCCTTTATGGCCCCTGCCCATTTGTTTCTCAGATTGTAGCCACTCACGTCTCTAATGCATTTCCAGCACTGAACTGGGGGAGTCTTTGAGGTAAAGACTACAGGAATGATCGTACTCTGGGTATAATACAGAGGGAGTTCAGTCAATCGTTTTAGAACTGATCCCCTAGAAAGGAGAATGGTTCTTTTTTAATTCGTGGAATTAGTAAGCAGAGGCACTGTCTGGCCACTCTGTTCTTTTTTCCTTCCTCCCACAATCACAGGCCTCTGCTGTGAGACCCAGCAAGAAGCGCAGCCCCTGTCCTTGGCCTTGCCTGTGCAGGTGGCCATGGGCAGCACATTCCATCTTACAGCCAGAATTGCTGATCTCAGTGCCAAGGAGACCAACTGGCTGCGGAATACAAATAGGGTCCTCCGGCCAGGGCAATGGGTCAGCACGTAGGAGGTGGAATTTCGGGGAGGGAGTCATAGACGCACAGCTGGGGAACAGGCAGGGTACACGCTACCTGCCTCGGAGAAGTGACCCCAGAAGAAATGATTGGAACGACAGAGGCTAAACAGCTCAGGGAAGTGGTGAGGGCGGCTCAGGGTGAAATTGCTTACAGGGTGGGGAGCTGCAAGGTGTCTGTTCACAATTAGACCCTGGAGGAGCTTTCTGGATGGTTTGTCGTCGCCTGGCCATGTGTGTCCGTGGTGGCTTTTCACTTTGCCCAAAGTCACCTACCATGAAGGAGAGGAACTCACCCACAGCGTTGGCCAGCACATTTTCAGACACTTTAGGGACATTCAGGTGCTGGCCTCTTCTGTCTGGTTTAGCTGCCCTTGGGAACTAAAGAAGATGCTGCTTTTCCACTGGTTAACCACAGGGAGTGCGGCGTCCTGAAGCTGAGAGTGTGTGCGTGTGCACACGCGTGTTCTCTAGTGGGCAGGGAGCAGGAGCGTAAGACTAGCTTTTCTTTCTTTTTTTTTTTTTTTTAAGATTTTATTTATTTATTTGACAGACAGAGATCACAAGTAGGGAGAGAGTCAGGCAGAGAAAGAGGAGGAAGCAGGCTCCCTGCAGAGCAAAGAGCCCGATGTGGGGCTCGATCCCAGGACCCCGGGATCATGACCTGAGCCGAAGGCAGAGGCTTTAACCCACTGAGCCACCCAGGCACCCCAAGACTAACTTTTCAAGCTCTTTGTCTTTCCAGGCTGATTTTGCAGAGAGAGAAGCACTTCCATTATCTGAAAAGAGGGCTTCGACAGCTGACAGACGCCTATGAGGTAAGCTCGCTGCCCAGGAGCTCAGTTGAATGGTCAGGCACAGTCCTTTTTCCTGTTGGAATGTGAAACACTCATGGGCCTGGCCTGCTGCGGAGTCGCTCTTTGTACCCCATTGCTGTGGCAGGAGCCAGGTACGCAGGAGCCCAGATCCACAGAGCCCGGGACTCCCCCTCCTGAAAGGGCAGAACTAGCTCTCTAGTGGTGTCTTCCCCTAGGAGGGACAGAGCTCCCTGGGTGGGGTGGGGCTTTCTTCCTCCATTAGATCATGGTGAGGGGTTCACGTACTTTTCCTGGCCACCGCTTGTCAGCTGCCTAGAAGGCAGTTATTGTCCATCCCTAATCCTTTGCCCTATAAGCGGATCTAATCCTGTGCCGGTCAGAGGATCAGTATATAAATCCCAGTGAGGACTTCCACAGTTGAACACTATAAAAATGCCCATGCTTAGAGTGCATTTTAAATCACATTCCTCGGAGCCCTGGGGTTTCCCAGAGGGGCCTCAGGGGAGCGCATGGTGGTGGAGGAGGGGCGGAGGATGTTGGGAAGGTGACAGACAGGGGATGAATGTGAACAGGAGGGCTCCAGTCTTCCTGCCTCACTTTATACACAGCAGCCCTGCTTCTAATTTGCTTTTTTATTTGGGGGAGTCTGCATTTGATTCTTTACAACAGGGATTGGCCAGCTGAAATGCCTGTAGATCTAAGCAGGTAGTATAAATAAGAGAAGTGGCCAGGTAGGAGGGAGACTGAGGCACACCTGGGCACCGAGCTTTCCCTCTGTTCCTGCCAGGTGCTGCTATCCAGGAATGTAGACCCACACTCGCCAGATCTCTCTTCCTCTCTCTTTTCAAATCAAGTCAGACATCCAGATTTCTCTGTGAATCTCCCAATGCCTACATGTTGCAACTAATTCTAATTAAAAAAACAGAATGCTACAAGGAACAAGCAGAACATGCCTACAGGCTAGACTTGGCCTTGGGGTCAAAATTTTCAATCCTTAACGCAGGGCCTCTGTGGTTAGGGTGCAGTGAGCCTGATATGGTTAATACCGTACCAGCCAACGGCTAGACGGCGGGCTGAAAGTTTACCATGCCTCATCTCACCAACTTGTCTCACCTACTACATGAGGTAGGTCAGTCTCGGGGTTAAGGCATTTGCTCAGAAGCACATAGCTCTAAGAGGAGGAGCTGGGACTCCAACCCAGGCAGGCAGGCAGGATCCACACCCAGTGCTCCTCGGGTGGCAGCCTAGCCCCAGCTAAGGACAGTCAGTGCATTTGTGAAGAGGGCAGCTTGGGCCAGTGGAAAGAGCACTGGAGTGGGAGTCCAGAAACCTGGCTTCTTAGCTCTGACATTTGATGTCTTTGTCATCTGGAAAAAGTTAATCTCTCTGGATTGCATTTATAAACTTCTAATCTGGAAAATGGGAGCAGTAAGACTCCCTGCCTGCCTGCCTTGAATGCTCGCTCCATGTTTATTGGTTGAATTGGGATCCCAAGCAGCTCATGCGTCACCTCAGGACCTTTCCCAGCCCTGAGGCAGAATTAGGCTCTTCGTGTGCTCGCTCCACATGCCTCCTGCCCAGTGCAGTGCGTATCGTCATTCAGGTACATGCACACCTGTGTTATGTGCCATCTTGTTCCAGAAGGCCCTAAGGTAACTCGTGCTTAAATGCATCTGTCTAGAGTTCTCTTCCTCTGCAGATGAACACACATTCTGTATCCCAAGCATCGCAAGAGTAGGAACTACATTTTGTTCATTATTGTGTCCCTGTAGCTGATAAAATGCTTGGCACACACAACGAGGTACCAAATAGTTGTTGAATCAATGAATGAGTTAATCCAGCAAATGGCTCTCTGAGAGCCTGGATCTCCTTGGGTCTACACTAGGAAAACAGCATCACTTAGCTTCCTAGCATGTGGGTGCTCCTCTGCTGAGCCTTCGTTGGGTGCCTCTCAGGGGAGGACCCCGTGGCCTCAAGGTAAATGTCTTTGTCCCATTGTCCCATTGTCCTTTTTGCACTTATGGTCACTTCAGCTGCTGACTGGGGCCCAAAGCAAAGCGTCCTTCATTCACTTATTGTTCATAGGGTGCCCTCCTCCCCCTTTCCAGGCTGCCGGGGTGAGACAGATGCCGCCTTGTCAGCAGCGTCTTGGAATGATTCTGAATACGGGGTGTGTTTTCTCCCCTGTGCCTTTCGCAGTGTCTGGATGCCAGCCGCCCATGGCTCTGCTATTGGATCCTGCACAGCTTGGAACTGCTGGATGAACCCATCCCCCAGATGGTGGCCACAGAGTGAGTCTGGCTTCGGGAATCTGGGCTGTTCTTTGAAAATTCACTTTTGAGTTGGGGGTTCTTTTTGTTTTGTTTCTGTTTTACAGATTTTGAATGAAAAACGCATCATGCTGCAAAGCATACCCTTGCCCTCCCCTTGACCCCAGTAACTTCCTGAAACTCCTCCACTTTAGAAGCCTATTGTAAGTTCGTGGGTGAAACAAGACTTTGAACTTCCAAGAGAAGGATTCTGGTTTCTTCTGTGGCCTTTTCTTTTGACTCTTGCTCTGGTCTTTGAGAAAGTTCTTCATCATCAATTCTGAAAGACATGATTTTGCCAGAAAGAACAGTATGAATTCGAGTAGCTTCTGTGGGGAAGCATGTGCCAGCCCCATGAACAAAAATGCCTTTGCCTTCCATAAACACCTCCATAGGTGTCCCCCTCACCAGGGCCTGGTAGCTGTAGCTCTCGATGGTATTAGATGTGTTACACTCTTGGGGTGCCAATGCCTTGACCCACAGTTTTCTTAAACTTCTGATTTATGAACAGAGATCTAAGCAACTGAGATTGTCCCCAAACTGCTGGTGCAGGAGGTGTTCTGGGAATGACTGTGGCACCTCGTCCTTAGAAGCTCGTCACAGTTTAGATTTTAAAGCAGAACCTTGTCCTCACTCCAGTCTTTGGGATACCTGGGATGGGGAGGGGCAGCCAGGGATTGGATCTGATGCCCCTGTTCTCACTGAGAGAGAAAGAGAGAGAGTGCACCTTCCCTTAATAACATCTGGAGTTCCTCTGCTCCCCTGGCACTCCTGAGGGAGAGGAGTCCAGGTGGGAAGGCCCGTGAGCCAGGGTCATTTGCTCGCAGCCCACAGAACCGGCCGCATGCGGATGCGTGGAGGCTAGCCTGGGCCCCGCGCTGGTCACTGCCTGGTCACCGTGCCCCTGCCTGGGTCACGCTGTCAGGTCAGAAGAACAGAACCACACATTGTCTCATTCATTCTGTCTTCACAATGACCTCTCATTCTTGCCTTCCTGGGCAGGGTGTCTTGTGATGACTGTGGATGGGGAAGATAATAAAGAATTAGGCAATTAACCCTTGTGATGTGTATGATGCTTTCTGAGGGAGAGGAAAAATGTGCATTGTCCTCATCACGATGCTGCCACAAGCCTCGTTGCTTCTAGCTCTGGAAGTAGAATTGGACCCAGTTTCTGCAATACCAGGAATTTAATTGTCAAAGGCTCATGTGTTTTTGAAATACCAGTGGGGGGTTGTGGAGTGTTTGGGAAATTTCTCCCCCACACATACACAATCAGGAGGTACAGCAGGAGAATGGGAGAGTTGCACACGAGAGAAGAAAAAAAGAAATGGAGGATTCTGGGGCAGGCAAGAACAGGTGTGCGAGGGAGGAGGTTGTAATTCCTGACCAGGAAGACTGCAGATCAGGCTTGGGTCAGCATCGATTCTGAGTGTGTTCTAGGTTGTAGACTTGCTGTCGTATAGGTGAGGCTTTGCCGAGGAAGGGAGTGTCAGAATAGCTTTCCAGGCAACGTCAGATAGGAAGAGAGGACCCCTTTCTAGGGTCTTTCATAGTGAACGACTGGACACAGCCCCAGTATCCCCTGTAGGGATGTGTTAAAGTATATTTGAAGCTTAAGTAAAATATGGTGCAGAGTGTACAGTGAAATACTGTGCAGCCATTGAAAAATTGACATCAACAGATGTTAACTAGACTTGCTGTGATCATTTTGCAATATGTACAAATACCGAATCACTGTTGTACACCTGAAATTAATAAAATGCTATATATCCATTATATTTTAGTAAAAATGTATGCATGTAAAGTGCACGTTTGTTTACAAAAATGTTATATGGACTCCCTGCTCAGCGGGTGTCTGCTTCTCCCTCTCCCTCTGCTGCTCCCCCTGCTTATGCTTTCTTTCTCTGTCTCAAATAAATAAATAAAATCTTTAAAATGCTTACATTTATGTAGAAAGATGGTCATGATTTAAGTGAAAAAAGGTAGTTAAAAGGATTCAACTTCTGTAGATTAAAAAATAGCTGGTTATGTGCATAGAGAAAACCAGAAGTTATACACACCTGGTAGTAGTTATCTCTGGATGGTGGGGTTATGTGCATATTTTAAAATGTTACTTATTTTATTGTTTTGTTGTTAAAAGGATGCTTCTGTACTAAAAAGCTAGTTCTAATTTCAGGAACCGCGTGATAGTAAATGAGAATTTCTGCTGTCCAGCTGCCTTAGAATCTTTACTTGTGGTTCTTCTGAGCATTGATTTAACAGACTTTTAAAGAATTACTTAGACTTTCCAATAATGAATTCTATTTTGTGCTTGGCAGATAGTTAATTCTAGGGGCAGATAATATCTGTTATTAAAGAGCTTAGCTTTGACAAATAAGGAAATAAACTACTTTTAGTAAGATACAGAGAAATCTTAATGACGTCTGTAAAAATATGGGGATTTTTAAAAGACAATCTGATATAGGATATTACTTTTTTGTTCATTTTGCACAGAGAAAAGAAATGCTTTGAAAATGTGGTCACATTTCTGTTCCCTTCTTCATACAGATATTAGGTGCAGAGTTTAGGTCTGGAGTATTATTTTCCTGCCCTTTTCTTTCCCCACTCTGCCACCTAGTGCAGACAGACAGACAGACACACACACACACACACACACACACACACACACACACACACACTTACTTCTCTTTTCTATTTTGTTCAGTGTCCTTCTTTGTGTTTAGGGAACTGTATGGCAAGCTGAGTTCCCTCTAGTGGACAAAATCGCTTTTTCAGCTGCTTTGACTGCCGAATGAAGCCAGGAAGGGCCCGGTTTTTCCTTCTGGCCTCAGACCTTTTAAGGACAGTGTGTATATTCATAGGTAGGAATTTAGCTTGCCACTTTTGAGAGATGGTATCCACAAATTTCCATGAGTTTACCTGAAATAAGTTAATATCTTGGAACTAGACTAAATACATTTGTTTTTAGTGATTTTAGCAGGGAAGGTAATGAGGATCCCATGCTTTGTTACTGAAAACTAAAGTGAAATCACAGGGAGATGGCTACACTGTCAAAGTTAGGTTTTTAGCTCCTGTAAGATCTAAAAATTGTCTTTAACTTAATTGTTTTAGGACTTCTCTGCTTATGAAGTTTTTCCAAATACTAAATTTCATTTTTCATGTTTCAGTAGTGTTCTACTGTTTCCCTTTCAAAAGGCTATTAGTAGCTGATCCTCTGAATAGCTCTTTAAATATTTTTCCTTTTAATTTTAAAATATAATTTGTCTGTTTCCTTACCTTTCTATGAAGATACCTCATCTCATCCTTTGTGTTCTGGGCCTTTTTTGGCCAGGAGCCGCTGGGGGCTAGTGGGTTGAGGTCAAGGGTGCTGCCAGTGGGACAGTTCCCACAATGTATAGCTACACAGTCCAAAATGTCAATAGTGCCAAGGTGGAGAAGCCTTGTTCTAAAATGACCCACTTCACCCTTGACCGTAGTTCCAGAGCAGCAGCGTCCAGAGGATGGCTGTACTTGGGGAGGTCAGACGACGTGTCAAACTCTCCAGGCAGCACCGGCCTCCTGGGGTCGGTGCAGAGCCCACCTGCCTTTGACCTGTTCACTGCCAGACTCTGCTCAGGAAGGACTTTTCCTCTTTCTCATGCTAAGCTCAAGTTGTTTTATGGTATGAAATTCGAAAAGACTTCATCCTAGAGGAAGCCCGATGTCCGGGCATCCATCTTGTATTGGCCTCGCCTCCCAAGCCATCCTGCTCAAGGATGACTGTTGCTATTTCCAAAGTTACCATCTTTGTAACTTCTCTGTCCACGGTGACCTGTTCTGGTGCTGAAGGTTTTCTTAAATCTGACCTAAATTCTGGTGCTGTGGATTAGTGTTGGTGTTCATTTCTTTACTGGAAAGTTTGTACAATTACCCTTTGTACGCTTGAGGTATTTTGCTGGGTAGCTTCTTCTTGGTGTTTGCCTGTCATATTAAGCCTTATAATGTTTTGATATTTAGCCATTTTTACAGCTCTAACCTGAACCTCTTTTGAGTTGGCAAATGGAGGCTTGAACCAAATGTAGTTGTGGCCAGCACTGTGTTTATTTATTTATTTTTAAGATTTTATTTATTTATTTGAGAGAGTGAGTGGGAGAGAAAGAGCACGAGAGGGATGGAGGGGCAAAGGGTGAGAGAGAATCAGGTTCCTTACTGAGCAGGGAGCCCAATGTGGGGCTCCATCCCAGGACCCTGGGATCATGACCTGAGCCGAAGGCACCACTTAATTGACTGAGTCACGTAGGCGCCCCCAGTGTTGCATTTATGATGCTCTTAAGAAGTATTCTCATTTGTGTTCACAACTCACGGGCCTTAATCTCTGGTCCTTTTTCTCCTATATTCCTAGTCCTTTCCCATAGTATATTTATATGGTTTACTCATCCCCCACTCCTGCCATCCCTAAGTGTATTATCTTGTCCCCATTTCATTTGTTTTATCCTTATGTGCTGCTGATTAATTTTATATTATTCCGGACTTTAATTCTTACCTTGGAGGTGTTTCTCTGGTCCTTTGAAATTATCTGCTTGTTTTAGAGTACTTCCTCCAAGGTGGTGACAGCAATGCCCAGAATCAACCACTTTAGGTCAGTCTTCAACCATCACCTTAAAGTCCAAGTAAACCCCTTATGAGGCTGACGGTTAATCATTGATACTTCTGCTTTGAATTGATCTCCTTATAGGTTTCACAGACTTTTTCACAGTTGAATGATAGAGTGTTGATGTTCAGTAGAACTTTCTACAGTAATGGAGATGTTCTCTATTTTGTGGGAGCCACTTGGGACGTGTAGCTATTGAACAGTTGCAGTGTGGCTTCTGTGACCAAGGAGCTTAAGTTTAAATTAATTTAATGAATTTAGTTTAAAATTTAAATAGCCTCATGTGGCTAGTCACGACCTGTTGGACAGCTCAGATCTTTGCTACCCAAAATGTGGTTCCCCAGCAGTGGCATGGCTGTCACCTGGAGTTTGCTGAAAGGGCAGACTCAAGCCCATCTAGCTCTTTGGAGTCAGAGCTGCATTTTTTTAAAATTATTTTTTAATTTATTTTTACTTTTTTTTTATTATGTTCAGTTAGCCAACATATAGTACATCATTAGTTTTTGATGTAGTGTTCAACGATTCATTAGTTGCGTATAACACCCTGTGCTCATCACTACACGTGCCCTCCTTGATGCCTCTCACCCAGTTACTGCATCCCCCCACCCCCTCCCTTCTGTAACCCTCAGTTTAGTTCCTGGAGTCCAGAGTCCCCTGGTTTGTCTCCCGCTCTGAGCTCCTTTCCCACAGGACTGTTAAACTAAACTCCAGTGCCAGGGGAAACAATGTAGGGAGCTCCAAGTGTTCCCCCACAGCTTGCTTATACTTCAGGCTGAATTTTACATTTCCTTTTTAGTGTCTTATTCTTTTTTTCTTTCTTTCTTTCTTTTTTTTTAACTGTGCTCCCATTTCAGATGGATTCATATTTCCCAACCTATGGTTTTAAGTCACTTCTTAAATTTTACTTTCTTTTGCACATTAATGTTTTATAGACTTATACCCAACCCTAGCCCGTTTTTCATTCACTTTAATCAGAGCTGCATTTTTTTTAAAGAGTTTATTTATTTATTTGACAGACAGAGATCGTAAGTAGGCAGAGAGGCAGGCAGAGAGAGGGGGGAAAGCTCTCTGCTGAGCAGGGAACCTGATGCGGGGCTCAATCCCAGGACCCTGAGATCATGACCTGAGCTGAAGGCACAGGCTTAACCCACTGAGCCACCCGGCCACCCCCAATCAGAGTTGCATTTTAACAAGGTTCTCGGGTGGTTTCTGTGTGCACTCAAGTTTCACAGGCACTGGTACTTGGTGGTACATTGGAGCCACATGGGAATTTAAAAAAAAATACGGCCACTTGGGTCCCATCCTCAGTGATTCTGATTTCATTGGTATTAGTGTGGCACGGGCATTGGGTTTTTCAAAAACATCCCCCAAGTGATTCTGATTGCTCAGCTAAGACTTGTGGTTCTCAAGTGTATTCACATCATCTGGGAATTTGGTAAAAATATGGAGGCCCAGGCTTATTTCTCATATCTCTGCTGTCTCTACTCGCTCTCCAATGTTTGTGAGATACACGTGTTGGGTTTGAAAATCCCTCATCTTGAAGATAGTCCCCCACTCTGTGGGTAATTGTCACGTTAGCTAGAATGAAACGCCTCACTGACTTGAAAGCAAACTGGTCTCCTTGCCCTTTTAGTCACAGGACTAAAGGAGCGATGCATGAAAACTTGTTCTTCAGAAAGTCTGCCACTCTTGGTATTTGCACTGTTTCCTGCTTGTGGTTTTTTTTTGTTTTGTTTTGTTTTGTTTTTAACTAGGTGGTGAATTTCTGCTCTCTCAGATAAGTTTCCCCCCCCTTTCTAAAGATAGAAGTCTCATTCACACTTTGGTTTTCAGAGTTGCTAAGAACTCTGCTAATGACGGCTGGTAGCTTCTTGGTCAGTTTGCCAGTTCCTTACCGTATGCGTTGGAAAGCCTCTGGAGCAGAATGTTCTGTAATATGGAAGCTTCTGAGAGTCCAGAAAAACCCAGCCCTGCTCCCCAGTATAGCCCCATGGCCAGTCAGATGCTGCATATCAGCTGAGGGAGGTTGGCATGGAGGGATGATTTAAAGGTGTCTGGTACATTCAGATCCCGGCTCACCAGACATGAGGCTACAGGGTCAGGGGTGTTGGATTTGGCACAATTCTATCTCGAGAGCTGGAGCTGGGAAAGAGAATGGATGACTAGGTGACTCTTTTTCTTTCCATTTTTTTTTTTTTTTAATGTGCTGTTAAGCTTTATATCAACTAAAACCTTTTGTTTTTGTGATACAGAAAAGTCTTTGTATGCCAGTCCAGCCAGCCTTTGTCAGGACATTAATTTATTAGGTATTTGTTTCCAGGAAATAGGATATGAATTAATGAAGGTTTGGAAAATATGTCAGGAACAAACTTATTTTCCCATTGAAAATTAATCACTATTACAAATATGCCACAGTACTGTCTTCCTTCTTTGATGATGAGCTTCTACGTCAATTCACGTGTTTCATGCAGTCAAATCAGAGGTGCAGATAGAAGGGAGTGTGTACAGAAAGGAGTGTGTATAGAAGGGAGTGTGTGTTTTTTTTTCTTTTAACCTGTGAAGACTTCAGAGCTCCAGTAGCGAGTGAGCAGAATTTTCTGTTCCTGTCCCTGCGAGATAATGGAAGGTCTGAAATCAAAAGTCATCAGATACGATGTGGAAAAGCAGTAATAAGCTTGTACCCTAGAGATGAGTTAGACTCTCTGTAGTCTCTCTGGCAGCAGTAGATAAGAAAGAACAAGACGAAAGAGTCTGGGGGAAGAAGGCTGCCTGAGCACTAGGACAGAGATTTGCAGCTTATTCTCTGAAATGCGGACTTGTCCCAATAGGGAGCCTATGGTCCTGGCTGAGTTGTGGGGAAAGAGCTCAATAACCAGGACTTTCCAGGGCACCCACTTCCCGGTGAATTTCAGAGGACCTTGGATAAGTAGGGGCTCCCTTGGTTTGACCTCAGACAAGAATGTAACTTCTGAGCAACCCAATGCCGTGCTTGGAGGCAAACCCTTAAAACAATTTCCCTTGGTGGGGGACTTGGAGCCTCTCTGGATTAGTGTGACTAATTCTCCAAAAGCCTACAGGCTGGGATGCATTTGTGTGATATGAGTCAGCAGTGCTGAAGTTTGCCATAACTGAGGTGAGCGTGCTAGAAGTCCACGCTCCTTTTGTTCTCCTAACCATGAAGGCAGACTCCACTAGAAGCTTCTTTCTTGGTGGTGGTAGGAATAAAAGTCAGAAACTCCTGGGGCTTAGGTGACAATGGAGTGAGAAGACATCTCTTTAAATATCCTGGGTGGGCCTAGGTGGTGGCCCCAGAGTGGGGTGGTTAGCATGGAAAGAGATTGGGCGCCATCACAATTTTGACAAAATTCGATTTAGGGACCTCAGAGGCAAGGAGAAAGGGCTGGCAACACAGATGCGGCATGGCGAACTGAGGGAAAAGTATGGGAAAGATTTGGTCAAGAAGCATGAGACTTATCCCCAGTTTGGTGGAAGGCTGGTGGTCTCTGCCTGGTCTTTTGCTTCTTGCTTCACAGCTAGGTGGATCCTTACATGCAAAACTCAGAAAGAAAGGCATTCAAAATAGCAGGGGAGAGAGGCCCTTTTCAGAGGTTAATTATGTTCAGTATATGTTCAGTAGTTGAGAGGAGAGGTTTTGGTTTTATTTTTACCCCTTTGAGGGAAAGTCATGGACTGTGGTGGAACTTGTTTTGAAATGAATGCTCTCTGACTTTGGTTTTCCATTTGGCTATGTACCTAGCGTGTGTCAGTTCCTGGAGCTGTGTCAAAGTCCAGAAGGTGGCTTTGGGGGGGGCCCTGGCCAGTACCCGCATCTTGCACCCACGTATGCCGCCGTCAACGCACTCTGCATCATCGGCACCGAGGAGGCCTATGACGTCATTAACAGGTATGGCCAGAGCCAGGGTGCGGAACACCAGAGGGGGCCCCCCTGCTGACACTGCACTGATCATTGCTGTCTCTTGCCTCTCGGCTGCTTGTTTCTCAGGGAGAAGCTTCTTCAGTATTTGTACTCATTGAAGCAGTCCGATGGCTCTTTTCTCATGCACGTTGGAGGTGAGGTGGATGTGAGGTGAGTGGGGTTTTTCTCAGGCTGCTGCACCCATAGATTCCAGAGCTCATCTGCCATTGGAGATGCCAACCCCAAGGAGCACCATGGAAAAAATATGCTGCTTTGTCTCACAGAATGACCCGTGGAATGACATGTCAGGGACACAGTTCATAATCATGGCAAATGTGAGACCGATATCCTCAGGTGTTGCTCTCCCTTGATTCCTATGTAAATGTCAAAATATAAGTAAGACAGAAACAAAATCAAATGCTTTTCAGAATCAAAAATTTATTTGATTGGTAGAAAATGACATAGCATAATATATAATAACTGTATGGTGTAATATAATCTTTCATCTCTCTGGGATAGGAAGGGAGAAGGAAGCCCAGTAGGGACCTCCTAAATATTTTCTGAATGGATTTGAAGAAATCGTGAGAATGTCTATCACCTGTATGAAAATTGCTTTGGGAGGTTCAAACACACTTGGGGGCCAGTAGAGTTGAGGGAAATAGAATTTCAGTTACTGATTAGAACCAGTTGGCTCAAAATTATTATTTTACTCTGGAGTGATCTAATGTACCTAGCAAGTAGTTCACTCATCTGATAGGAGATTACTGAATACGTATGTGGAGTTCACTAAGTCATTTCTCAAAGGTGGTGGATCATTGAGATTTTATACCAAATTCTTACTATTTAGTCAGAGAAATACTTTTTTTTTGAGCTTTCTATAACAAAGCCATCTTATTGCCTCATTTGTAAATGTGTTTAGCTTCAATACAAGTTGATTCATTTTCTGGCTTAACTGTTGTTGAAAGCAAAGGGGGAGGAAAACATGTGTAATGAATCTACTCGAACCAAAAATCTGTCCTCCCCTGGAAAAACAATTTCTTACAACACTTCCAACACCAAATGTCTGTTTTTTTTTTTCTCATGTTAAATTCTGATATCAACTAACCAGATTTAGCTCAGATTCGACAGGTTAAGGGCTTTGTCCCAGAAGATCACCCCCACTTCAGATGCTAGTCACAAGTTGTGTGTCCCCATGTTACCCACACTTCTGTCTGACTTGGCTACAAATCAGGTTCCCATGACCCCTCTTCGATTCAATAATATGTTAGGGACGGCTCCCAGAACTCACTGATTGATTACAAAGGATATTATAAAGGATACAAACGAACAGCCAGATGAAGAGGTATATTGAGTGAGGTCTAGAAGGGTCTGGAGTGTAGGAATTTCTGTCCTCATGAAGCTGGAGTATGCCACCCTCCCAGCAGTCACCTGGCTGTGTTCACCACCCTGGATCTCCCCAAATTCCATCAGTTAGGGTTTTTATGGAAGTTCTGTTGTGTACGCATGATTGGTGAAATTGTTGGCCATTGGTGATTAACTTGATCTCCAGCCCTTCTCCTCAGGGGATCAGGGCTGAAGCTGCCAACCCTCTAGTCATGGGGTCACTTTCTGTGGCAAGTGGCCCATCCTCCGGGAGTCACCTCATTAGCATAACGCAGGTGTGCTTCACCAGGGCTTGTTCTGAATCACTAGAGACTCTCCTGTCACCCCTGTCACTCAGGAGCACTGTACCAGCAATCTGGAAGAAGACCAAACCTATATTTCTACCATATCAAGAAGGGACCAGGAACAGGGAAGTTATACAAGGCAAACAAGTGGGTCAGTTTTGCGAGGTTACTTTCCTTTCAGAGATAGCAGGGTTCTGTCAGGCAGGTGACCTAATCAGCGCTCATCAAGTGCTTCCTGAGGAACTGGTTTAAGACTTCATTTCTGAAGAGCCGAAACTGTGATTAGGTTTCAGTTTGGTGATGTGGGGCTTAGCATAAGTGACTCCATCTGGGACTGTGGTTATGTGTTTAACCCTGTCAACACCAACAAAGCCAATATGACTAATGAGGAAAAGCAGTATTGTGTTGACTCTTCTTAAGGTAAAGGTTAAAAATTGTCCCCCCACCCCCGACACCGCATTTTCATTTCTGTTCTACAACTAGTCCAACTGAATATGCACGATCTCAAAATTCAGCTTTTTCTTTCCTTTTTTTTCTTTTTTTTAAAAGATTTTATTTATTCATTTGACAGAGAGAGACAGTGAGAGAGGGAACACAAGCCAGGGGAAGTATAAGAGGGAGAAGCAGGCTTCCCACTGAGCAGGGAGTCTAACACGGGGCTGGATCCCAGGACTCTGGGATCATGACCCAAACCCAAGGCAGAGGCCTAATGACTGAGCCACCCAGGCGCCCCAAAATTTAGCTTTTTAAAACTTCTGACATTACGAGGCGAAGTCAGATTGCTTTGCATTGTATCACATACCTTTTTCAGATGTGATTATTCTCCAGCTTATTAGTTCCAGTGCAGGTTTTTTCTGTGTTCATATTTATATCTGCTAGACAAATGTTAGCAAACTTCTCCAGTAAAAATGATCTGTTCCATCCAAGAGCCCTGCAGCTGTATCTCACCTGTACGGAAGCTCCTCTGCTAACGTGCTCCCTTTCAGCCATGCTTCTCGTTTGCATAGGATCAGAGAGGCGAATGCTTCCTTGCTTCCATCCTCTCGTATCCCAGTTCCATCATTTCTTTTTTTTTTTTTTTTTTTAAGATTATTTATTTATTTATTTATTTGATAGAGAGCGATCACAAGTAGACAGAGAGGCAGGCAGAGGGAGGGGGGAAGCAGGCTCCCCGCCGAGCAGAGAACCCGATACGGGACTTGATCCCAGGACCCTGAGATCATGACCTGAGCCAAAGGCAGAGGCCTAACCCACTGAGCCATCCAGGTGCCCCTAACATTTCTTGCTTGGTATTTAATTGTCCTTTGCCTGAAAGTGTCCACCAGGACTCCAGAGTGCGTGTTGAGTGGGTTTGACTAGCAGTGATGGGTGGAGGTTGGGGGAGGGCACATTTGGGAGTCTGGAGGCTAGCAGGCCTCATTCTGGGTTAGAGACAATGGCCTCGTGATCTTTCCTGTCTGTCACGATTCTTGATAGTCTCCAGGATGAGTTAATTCTGAGTTTTACGACACAGGTGTGCTCCCAGGGACTCCTAGCGCCTGCCACCCTTTCTCAGTTCTCAGAAAGCAGTTATTTACTACTGACCTTATCTAGGTTGGAGAACCTGGAGTGTTCTGTGAGGGTAGGGGACAGACAGAGACCCAGCATTCATGGAACTTGAGGTGACAGGGCCTAGAGCAGGCTCGAGAAAGCAGTTTTGTGTGGCTGAAGTGGAGAGGGCCTCGTGGGCAGTAGCAGTGAAGCTGGAACGACAGGCTGGAAGCACACCGAGGGGTCCTGAAGTAGGAGTTTAAGAGCAGTGGGAAGTCACTGACCCAATTTTAAGTAGGGAGTGATAGGATGTGGTCTGTATTTTATTAGAACTTTCCCAGTTGCAGTGAGTGGATTGCAGTGTTTTAGTAAAAGTCCTCTGGGTTCAGGGCTGGAAGGAGGAAGACCAGGCAGTAGCTCGATCCTGGGAACGGTGCCTTGGATTTGGAGTACAGTAGAGAGGATGGGGAGTAGTGAACAAATTTGAGAGATGCGATGACTGGATAGAAGGAGAGAGGAAGAAACTGCACAAAAGGGGTGGGTTTTGTTGGCTCCCTGTTTCAGTGTGCAATCTAGGACTAGCGGCTTCTGGCATCACGTCTTAGTTCTTCCATCTGCGAGAGGCAAACTACATGGTTGGCTGCCTCCCTACCTCAGAGGTTATGTGAAGGTTCAAGAGCAAATACTGTGGAACCCTTTTGAGAGGCTCCAAACCTGAAAGAAGTGAGATCAGACCTCTGAAGTTAGCTTCTGGTGGGTAATAATGTTTGGCACGTAGGACTCTCGCATGCTTCTGCTGTCTGCTGGAGTAACTCAGCCCCTGCTATGTCGGGGCCAACGTGAGCCGGCCGATGCAGAGGCTGGTGTAATATCATAAGCTTGCAGCTTCTGTACAAATATCTTTGGGATACCCCGTGAGTTTGGCTTAGTAGCTATGTCCATATTGAACGATACAGAACCTAGGCCCTCCTCTTTCCTCCCTTTTATATTCCTCAGGAGCCCTTAGAAAGGATCTGTAAGCAGAATTAGAACAAACTGTCTTCATTATAAAATGGAGCTGAGATGCTGGATATTTGAAAAGGGCATAGAAGGAAAGAAAACACAATTTGTAGATATATTCTGTAATAGAGAGAGAAGCTGAAATGAAATGTGTCCTGAGAAGAATTAGGGCTGGCAGGATGGGATGGGAAGACTTATTCCAAATCAAGTAGGATAACATTAAAAAAAAAAAAAAAAGTTCTCTTTCTTTTTTATTTAAAAGTGTGTGTGTGTGTGTGTGTGTGTGTGTACACGTACTGGTGGGGTGCTTGAAATCAAAGTTCTTTTCTCCCTCTGAAGGCTTAAGGAAAGTATGCGAGTGGACTCCTCTATTCCTGTCCCTCTAATCTGGACTAAGCAGCCGTTAGGGTCTGGTGCCCTGCTTTGGAGTGTCTATTGCAGAAAAAATATACAGTTAACCTTTAATGTGTCCATTCCATATACAGAAATTCTGGATCTGAAACATTACTGACATTGAATGAATGAGTGTATCAGAAATAGCCGAATGAATGACACTGTGGAAGTTTGGGAACCATGATAGGTCTTTGAAAGAAGAGCTGAATTCACTTTGGACATGTATTGATCTGGCTGTTATTTCCTCTGATGTAGATTTGACCATGTGGAGGTAGGGAGACTAGAATGTCATGTTCTTTCACTGAAGCCACGCTGTGAGCAACTCTATCCAAATAGAATGTCAAACCTCTCAGTTGGAGACCCGGGAGGACTGACCAAGTGCCAAGAGTGAGGACAGGAGGTGATTACAGCTTACCAGGCAGAAAGCAGTCCGCCTGAGTTCAATGAACCCTATTTTAGCTCTTCCTTAAAGCTTAACACTCTCCCCCTCTGTTTCTGTCCTTCCAGAAGCGCGTACTGTGCTGCCTCCGTAGCTTCTCTGACCAACATCATCACTCCAGACCTCTTTGAGGGCACGGCCGAATGGATAGCAAGGTGAGAGATGCCGGGATTTGTCCTGGCCTCTTAGAAAGCAGGTGGTCAAGACTCTGAAAATAAAGAAAATGATAAAGGAATGGAAGGGACTCTAAAATTACAAGAGACGAATTGGGGCTGTAGCATGGTGCCTTTCAGAAATGCTCCAAAAGTTTTCTTTTTTCCCAAACTTTCTTCAGTGTTGTGTTATTGTGTAGATGGGCAAGGATCAAAACCTTGTGCAAACAGTACTCGGGGCATCTAAATGGATTTAACCAGTTTGGAGAGCAACTTGGTAATACCTTAAAGATGCCGTTGCTAATGACCCAGTAATCCCACACCTACAGAAGCTCACACACATGCACAAAAGAGACCAACATGCGACTTGTTTGTAATAGCAAAAACCCAGAAACAGGTTAAATGTTCATAAGCACAAGAGGGAGAAGCAAGCCGTGGTGTAGTCACATTGCAATATAAGATAGCAGTTGGAATGAATGAACCAGAGCTGCGTGTATCAAGACAGATAAATCCTTAAAAACAACCCTGAGGGGCACCTGGGTGGCTCAGTGGGTTAAGCCTCTGCTCTGCCTTCAGCTCAGGTCATGATCTCAGGGTCCTGGGGTTGAGTCCCACATCGGGCTCTGTGCTTGGCAGGGAGCCTGCTTCCCCTCTCTCTCTGCCTGTCTCTCTGCCACTTGTGATCTATCTCTCTCTCTCTCTCTCTCTCTGTCAAATTAAAAAAAAAAAAAAATCTTTAAAAACAACCCTGAGTTAAAGTAAAGGATGTTAAAACATGCAGATTATTAGCACACTTGCTTAAAATTTGAAAACATGCACACTAATACTATATTTATAGGAAGAATGACATGTGGTAATATAAAAATATATAAATATAAATATATAATATAAAAATATAAAAACAAATTCAGGATGATGATTACTTCTCAGGGAGAGCAGAGGAAATGAAATCAGGAGATGTTTACCCATCTCCACAGGGAACTTCAACTGTATCTGTAATGGTTCATTTCTTTAAAATAAAAGAGAGACCGAAGTGTATATGACTCCGTTAAAGCTAGGTGTGACATACATGTACATTCTATATATTATTTGCTATACTTTCCTAGACATTTCAAGTATCTCATGATTAAAAAAAAGAAAAAGGAAGGTATAGTAGATACCTGTGTACCAATATGGAATGTTAGCCAAGCTGTATTACTTTGTTTTTTATGTTTTTATTCTTACCAAAGTAGTACCTGTTACTGTGGAAATATAATTTATAGGTATATCAGATGGTAAACTATGGTCATATTTACTTTCCTAGATAATTTTTATTTTCCTGGAATTAGTCATTACCTCTTTTTAAAAATGCATACATCATGAATTTATTCCCAGATTTTCTGCCAGAGCTATAAAATCACTCTCATTACAGTCAAACACTTTAGGTAATATATCAGTTCTCGTGTGTGTGTGTGTGTGTGTGTATTTTGAGTTCTCCTTCCTGGAGCCCTGTGCCCTCCTGCTTCAGTCTGGACAGATTGCTCTCAGCCTGCTGCCCAGCAGGTAGCCAGAAGCTTCCTTTCAGCATGAAATTCACTTCACTTGTCTCCTTTGTTGAAGCCCTTGCCCTCCTTTTTCTTGGCTTACTTACACATTTTAATGAACCACATACTCCAGTAGATCCCAAAAGAGAGCACTTAAGAGATGAATTTTTAAGATTGTGCATAATGGTTATTTTAGTCTCACACTTGATTGAGATTTTATTTGGTTAGAGATTTCTAAATTGGATACTATATAAACTGTATTCCTTCAGAATTTTTTTTAGCATTCCTCCATTATCTTCTGGCTTCCAGTATCATTGTGGAAAAGGCTAACAATAATAATAACCAACATTTACTGAAGACCTGGCATGTAATACTCACTGGTGTAAGGTAGCCATAGTTTAGAGATTGAGAGTATAGGCTTTTGAGCTAACTTGCCTGGGTTTGGTTCTTTATTATACTTTCTCTTTCTCAGTTAAGATTTCCCATCTTTTTATTCATTGAAAGTGTATTTTTTTTTCCATTTCCCTGAGGTAAACACATAGTTAAAATGTCTGCTTTAAAATTCTTATCTGGTAATTTCAACATCTGGCTATCTTGGAGTTGGGGCGTCCCATTTTCCTGATTCTGCATATGTCAAGTAATTTTTGGATTGTATCTTAGACATTGTGGTCTTGTATCGTAGAGGCTGGATTCTGTTAGATTGCTCTAAAGAGTGTTGATGGCTTTGTTTTAGCAGCAATCAACTTGGTTAGACCCAAAGTACAGATTGTTACACATGCACCGGGCAGTGGGTTTGGCTCTTTGGTCAGTTCTTGGGTCAGAATCTGCTTTCAGTTTGCCTGATGTGTGTGTGATCTGGAGTCAGGTAGACATTTAAACATGGAATTTGGAGTTTTCCTTTTTTAGCTCTCCTCTTTCTGGTGTTCCTCCACTGTTTCCATCAGCCTGGTTCTTCTTACCAGGAAAATGGTGGGCTTTCTGTTTGTTTCAACTGCCCTCCACTGGCCCCTCTGACCTGCCGCTGCCACCACTGGGTGACTGCAGCCTGGGAAGGGCAAACTGGGAAGGGCAAACTGGGAAGAAAAAAAATAGGGTCGGGGAGGGAAGAGACTGCCTGCCTGCTGTTGTCTGCTCCAACTTTTAAATTCCCACCAAAATCTTCCTTTTTTTAGTCCACTGAGCCCTTGGAAAAAGTTGTTTCTGTGTATTTTGTCCAGAGTGTATAACTAGTATTTGCAGGATTGGATTGTTAGGCACTCACTAGATGCGGAACTCTGACTACCTGGGTTTGAATCCCAGTTTTGTCATTTAGTAGCTTCGGACAAATCATTTCACTTCTCTATGCCATAGTTTCCTTGTATATAAAATGGTGGGATATTGAATTTGATATGAAGCTGAAATGCAAGGAGTTTAAGTAGCCAAAAACTGTTATGGTAACCACTGCCTCTCAATGCCATTGTAGTCCCAATCCTGTGTGTGTGTGTGTGTGTGTGTGTGTGTGTGTGTGTGTGTGTGTGTGTTTAGAGAGCACAAGCAGGGGGCGCAGCAGGCAGAGGGAAAAGGAGAAGCAGGCTCCTTGCTGAGCAGGGAGCCTGATGCAGGACTCCATCCCAGGACCATGGGATCACGACCTGAGCCGAAGGCAGACGCTTATGTTTTATTTCTCTTTTTCTCTGTTCCACCATATCTCCCTCCCTAGAAGTTTTTGGAAATCTTTATTCTTGATGTTTGGAAACTTGATGCTGATGAACCATGATATGGATTTTAAAAAATTTTTCTTTTGGCACTCAGCAGGTATATTCAGTCTGGAATGGCATATATTAGTTCTAAGAATCGTTATTTTATTATTTCTTTGATAATTTCTTTCCCTCTGTTTTCTGTGTTTGCTCTTTTTATAACATAGGGTTGGTCTTCTGATTTTTCGGATTATTTTGCCTACTTTTTAACTCTTAATCTTTCTTATTGTACTTTCTGAGAGATTCCCTTCTGTTGAGGTTTTATTTCTGCAATTCTATTTTAAATTTTCCAGAGCTTATTTTATTCTCATTTCTAAAAGAAATACTTTTTTATGTACTCTCCTGTTCGTGTTTCAGGCATGTTCTATTCTTGCAGTATTTTTATCTCATATACTATTTTATCTAAAACGTTTCCTTCTGCTCCCTGTGTCATTTCGCCAGCTTAGTTTTGTGTGTCTGTTCCACTCTCTCTCTCTCGTATTAGAGACTGCAGAAATGCCTGGTGTTCAGATTTAGGAGCCGAGTGCTAAAAAGCTGGCAGAGAGCTGCGTGTGCCAGCATTCAGCCTTTCACCCCATTGGGCTTTGTCCCTTGGGCTTATCAGTTTCCATGGTGGTGCGTCTTCCAGATTCCTGGTTGCGGTACGAAGTTGGCCGCCGGCTTTGTGAAATACTAGGAAGAAACGGGGTGGGGGCTGTTTGTGTTCAGACTATAGATTCTCACGCACTTCCCTGCTCAGTGTGGTGCCTCCCTCCTGTTCTCTGTGCTGGATATCCTGGAGTTCAGACCCTCTTGATTAAACCCCTGAAACCTCCCGTCCTCACCTGCTGGGCACCAGGGGATCTAACTGATTCTTACATACATTTGCAAACAATTAACTTGTTTCCTTCTCATGCGGCTTCGGGAGGGCGAGGGGTCCTGCGTCTCCAGTTCCTGGTCCTTCTGCTGGAGCACATCACCCTGCTTTGTGTTGCCTCCTGCCCACCGGGCTGGTGTAGGGTTCTCTAATCTGTTAGGTCCGTTACTCATCTCTCTCCTTTCCTGGCTTTCAAAATTTTGTTATCTCTTGTCTGTGTGTATATCTTCTCCTATGCTCTTTACCCATGGAGTTTATCCCTTTTTAAATTCCTTGCCTTTTCTTTTACTGGGCTCTTGTGCTCAATCTGTTAGGTTTGGCTAGAAGACACTCCCGAAGAATTTTACTCAACTTACTAATTTACAATGATTAAAATTGCTCCCATGCATATCAAAGGGAGGAAAAGTGTAATGTAGATCATGTGTGTTTGCACTTCTGTGTGTGTGTGTGTGTAGAGAGAGAGAGGGAAAGAGGCAGAGGTGCAGAAACTGACAGTGGTCACTGCCGGTGAGAGGGTCTGGGGGCTAGGGTGGGCAGGAGGTTTACTTCTCATTATTTATTCTTTAACAGAATTTATTCTTTTAATTCAAAAAAATTGTTTGAAAGCTAAATTAAGAAAAAGAAAAATGCTAAGAGGTCCCCAGATGTTCCTCACTCATGACACTCTTCACACTTGAGCTATTCCTACCCTGCCTGTGGCCAAATGTGAGGAAGGAACACTCGCCTCTTGGGGGTGGGGTGGCAGGGTCCTGGGACAGAGGTGCTAAGGGGTCTGTGCAGGGAACTGTAGCCTGTTTTTGACTTGGCGCTCTGCACTGTGATGTCCCTGGGCCCGGGGACTGCTCTGAACATGGCCTGTGAGTTCCCGAGAGGCCAGGCCTCTAAGGAGAGGTGCCTGGAAGACGGGCAGGATTACTGCTTCTTTTCTCTTTCGTCTGGAAGTCCTGCCAAGTTTTGGAGTAAGCACTCCTCCCCCTGTGCACCTGTTTTGCAGCTGGTACTGGGAGGCAGACACACCTGCAGAGTACAAGCCCGTGTTCATTCTTGGAGATCACTGGAAGTAAAGTCCTGCCCTGTTACAGGAAAATATACTAAAAAGAAAATTTCTTTATTTCACAGATAAAACATTTATTATAGGCAAGCAAAAAGAAGAACATTCAGACTGCTTGGAATCTACCACCAACCACTCTGTTGGTGTATATCTTTTTAGAATTCCAGAAAAATTATACTGTACATTATCACGTTATAACTTTTTTCATGTGATATATTTGGAACATCTTTAAATATACTTCATAGCATTGTTTTAAATGAGTGGTTTTCTTTTGTACAGTGTGCTGTAATTTCTATAACCAGTCCCTTACTGTTGAGCTCTTGAGTTGTTTCTGATATTTCACTGTTATAAATGGGAATATGGCAAACATTCTTCTAATCTGCTCTTTGAATACATTTTCACTTATTTTGTAGGATTAATTCCTAGAAATGACTCCATATTGCTGGTCCAAAGATCAGGCACGTTTTTATGACTAGAGAATACACTATTAATATATTATAACCCCCTAATAATAACTACGATAATAAATGGCTAATTTGAATATGTAGAAAGTTGTCACTCAAAAATAAGTTTATTTTGATAAGTAATAAAGGTATTGATGTTCATTATAGAAATTTTTTGAAAATACAGAAAAGAGAAAAAATACCAGAAATAGATACATTTAAATACTAGTTGTCACACTGACTGTATGATTTTATAACCTTTTCCCTAGAAGTAAAGATTTGAGGTACTATGTTTTTTACATAAGTAGACTATTTCTGAGTTTCCCTGGTTTTTTTTTTTTTTTTTTTTTTTTAAGGGAGAAGCATTTGCAGGAGTTAATTAGCTGGCATCTTTCCATTCACAGCTGTGGCAGTTCACGCAGTAACCTAAAGCAGACTATTCTCTGCCGTCCAGGGCGGTTCCGCACTGTGCCCCGCGCTAGAGCTGGCCGCTCGTTGGTTGACACCGACCACTCAGCCCGCTCTTCTCAATCTCCCCGTAGGTGTCAGAATTGGGAAGGTGGAATTGGTGGGGTGCCAGGGATGGAAGCCCACGGCGGCTACACTTTCTGTGGCCTGGCTGCCCTGGTCATCCTCAAGAAGGAACGTTCCTTGAATTTGAAGAGCTTATTGGTAAGTGTCTGTGGACCCCTCTTCCTCTTGGGCCCCAGGGCCCCCCATGATGTGACTGCTCAAACCCACGGGCTTTGGGACTCTTTGGCTGTGGGAAGGGCTGAGAGTTCCTGCCTAGAGCCCACGGACTAAATGTCCTGTAATGAAGCTTTTCAATGCAGTTGTTGGGGGGCTCAGCACTGTTCCAAGAAAGTGGGAGGGGTGAACGTCTCCTTGGTCTTGGCTCCTTTTTTCCTGCCTTTCCATCTTCCTGCTCTGAGGTGTGTTAGGCCAACTCCATAGCCTTTGTGAGTCCGTCGCACATCTGGCATGAGCCAGAGTACCTTCCTCATACTTCCAAGGCTGTAGCTTCAGTTTCTTAAATTTAGATGACATCACGTGTCTTAGGAAGAATTCCCTAAGAGAAAACATCATGAGAAGGGCTCTCAGGCCTTTGGAGGCCAAGCTTTTGTTACGGACCGCAATATATGAACATTTAGTAACTACATTTATTTATTTTCATTATTATTATTATTATTATTATTAGCAACATATAATGTCTTATTTGTTTCAGGGGTACAGTCTGTGATTCATCAGCCTTGCATAATACACAGCACTCACCCCAACTAGTAACTATGTGAGCAGGTAGCCCAAGCATTGTATGTCTGGACTCTGAGTTCCTGACAGATATTAAGAGTGAATTCAGAAAGCAGTTAGCTTCCGGGAATCACCAGATTGTACTGATATTATCACCAGAATCCTAGAGTACAAACATACACACACCCAGTGCCACCATCTTCTGGGAAGCATTTATTCCCGACCATGACCTCAGAGCAGACCAGCTGCAACTGACATTCATCTCCTCTTCCCAAGTTCAAATGTCAGCCTCTCATCATAGGAACTGTCGTGAGACCCTTCATGAGCTTGTAAGGAAGTTCCTGTTGTACTCTGTACACAACCAGCAGTATTTTGTCCTCATCCTTAGGAAGCCTCCTGTAGTATACTCTCCTTGAAGGTTTATGCTGAAATGGCCAACTTTTTAGACATTTGTTAGACATTTAAAAATCTGATCACCAGTAAGGCATGAAATATGGAAGTCCCATTTCCCAGGCAGAAATATGGAATATAATTAGCAGAAGCCTCAGTTACAATGGCAATATTCTAGATTTGAGCCCTGTCTCTACCACTTCCTAACCATGTGATCTTAGGAAATTTGTCTGTTGTTATAGCTTCAATTTTTTCCTCCTCTATAAGGTAGAGATAACAGGTTTTTTTGAAGCTTAAAGGCGAGGTTAGTACTTTGGACTCTGAAAGTTAAAAGAGAGAAAAATCCATAAACCAGCCTGGCATATAGTGGGTGCTCAATAAATGCCAGTGTCCTCCTTACCCAAACCACTCTCTCCCTTCCATTTGCTTTGGGAGAACTAGGACCCATGCCTGAAGGATTTTATGAATTCATATAGCCAAGAGAAACAGATTAAACCCATGGGCTTAGGCATTGGGAAAAATTATTTAGTCTGACTCAAAAACCATTAGTCTGGGGGGGAAAAAATAAACCCTTAGTCTGGAGGGTAAGTAAAAATGAAGAATGGGCTTCCCATTGTAGTACCTGTTTTCTCTTTCCTTAAGTGATGCTTTACCTACTTTCATTAAATAGTGTCATCCCTAATGGGCTCACTGAAGACTCAGTGGGGACGTATTAGTGTCTGTACCTGCAGTCTAGTTTTTATGTCTTTCTTCTGAAAACTTGGGACTTGACTGTTATGGGTGAGCGTTGCCTTGAACAGGGATATAATCTAAAAATAACTCCACAACTGCTAACTGAAACACAGGCTGGACACCCCCATTCCGAAAAGGGTCCTTGGCGGCTCCTTTGGGGAAGTCAGTCTAGCAAGAACCTAGGGATGAGCAGATGCCTTATGCCACACTGTTCAGTTCTGAAAGTCCGTGGTTGGTGGCCAGAACTGCCTGGGAGGGAAACGGAGATGTCATTATCTGCCCAGCCAGCTGGTTCTGCTCATTCCTGGAGGCCAAACCCACGGCTATCTTGATCTTGGTAGCAGCGCCTGTTTAGGAAACTTGGAGATAAGTGGGGAAGGGCAGCATCACGGGTGATTACCAAGCGACATGAGGAGCCATTTTATAGGGTCAGCGTGAAAGATTTTCTTCTGTTAGGCAGCCAGGTTCCCCTGGAGAAGCAGAGAGGCTAGACCAGACAGCGCCATCATTGGTGGTTGGGATAATGGCTTCTGCTTCCAGTCCTGCAAGTGTTTTGCTAAGAAACTTTGGATGGATTTCTTCAGGTGCCAAGTCAAAGTCAGGGACAGTTTAAAATCATCTGATGAGACATAGCACAAAATTCCATTGATCTGCTTTTAATAAACTTCCCAGCAGGAAAAGTGGTTAGAAACGAGCCCCTGGTGGTCTTGGCCTGATGTTTCCTAGTTAAGCCTTGTTTCTGGGGAGACATTTGCAGGTGTCCTTACAGGCCAACTTGGCCTCTTCATCCTGTCAGCCCCAGAACCCATCTGAAACCCAGGAAGAGGTGACTGTCCATTGTCTGTTAGGCTCTGAGCCGAGATCAGTGTTGGTTGCCCCGAAGGGGTCCAGCTCAAGTGCTCTGCTCTGCATCTGCAGCAGTGAGGGGAGGAGGTAACAGCCAGGGCACTGAACTGCCAGTGCCAAGAAGCCAAGAGATGGGAACTTCGCCTATATCTGCCTTTCCCTTGTCTGTGTCATCCTCAGCAATGGGTGACCAGCCGGCAGATGCGCTTCGAAGGTGGATTTCAGGGCCGCTGCAACAAGCTGGTGGACGGCTGCTATTCCTTCTGGCAGGCGGGGCTCCTGCCCCTGCTGCACCGTGCACTGCACGCTCAAGGTGAGCCCGGGGGGCTGTTGGTGGGGGGCGGGCTGCTGGGGGGCGCCCAGCCATGTTCCGCAGCTGCTCATCAAGTCAGGAGGCCAGCATGCTTTTTCACGGGGGCAGAAATGATCTCTGTCTATCCTGGAGTACAGATGCCCGGCTTGGGACCTCCTGCCTTAGGCATGCACAGAGCAGGACTCAATGCCAGGGTTCAGCTACATTACGATGGCTGCTTCAGATTGGCTATGGCTGGGAGTTAGGTGCATGTCCTGGGCCCCAGGGTGATTGCCACCTCCACTGGGTGTGAAGCCACAGTTTTCCAGGGCAGAGTTCAGCATCAGTCAGACTGGAACTGAAAACCCATGCTGTGCACATTGCGGTCACAACAGTAACCAAACAGGCACTTGCAGAAAGGGGCAGAGAAACAGTCTGTGCGGAAAAGATCCTGTGTCTGACCAGCTTTGTTGAGGCCACCATTAGAAATATCTTAAATTCACTGACGTGTCCTAAATGCAAGTTTGTCCCGCCCCTCCTCCACCTGGAGTGGAGAGACCTGTGTTTGTTTCTGTGGCATCTCAAATGGGACTGCCAAACCAAAGCACTCAGAGAGCAAGCGAAACTTCTGGGAGCCTTCCTTTATTAGTCTTGAAATCTCAGGTTGCCTGTAGACTCCCAGATCAGCTTTCTTACTAATTTTATGTGAGAGCAGGGTGTTTCTGGGGAAACCAGGGAGAGGGGAAGTCATGGCTGTCCGGCTGGGTCCTGATCTATTCTTGGAGTGAGATCCCTTGGCCCAGAGGGAAGGTTTTCTTTGGACTTAGTAGTTGGGTAATTAGTTGCTCAAGTGTGGAAGATGAGATTCTTTGCTACTGCCTTGCCATCCCCATGTGCCTTTTTATCTTCTTTGGCTCATCTTTCTGAGCCCCTTTTCTTTACTTTCTTCATTTCATTTGAGTTGTGGCCACTTTGGATACAGACTTGAAGAAAGCACCACCTCTCCCCATTCTCCCAGTCGTAGTCTGTCCTGAGATTCCTTGCCTGGGGCCCCTGGGCTTCTGATCTCGGGGCATTAAGAATTACCGTTCTCCCGACTTGAGCCTGCACTGTCTCTGGCTTGACTGCTGGAATAGAGAAGCCAAGAAATCCCCGAGAGTCCAATGTTCTCAAAGCAAAAGTCGCCTGGGGTTTTAATGATTTCTTTATCTGGAACTGGTGAGGGGAAGCCCCTGGTAAAATGGGCAGCCTTTCACAGACCTGCCCCTGGCCGTGATGCCATTGCAGGAGCATTCGGGAGAGCTGCTACAGGAGCGCCACCTGCCAGTATGGGTGGCGGGGGTGGGGGTGGGGTCCTGCTGACATTTTGTTTATTGTAGCTCCTGCTCTGGAGGCCTGATCACACTCAGAGCTTTGCCTGTAGAAGAGGTTGCCACAACCCAACCGCCCCGTTAATAGGGGCTAAGCAGTTAAGCGTATGCCTTTGGCTCAGGTCATGATGTTGGGTCCTGCGATTGAGGCCCACCCTGGGCTCCTCACTCAGCAGGGAGTCTGCTTCTCCCTCTCCCTCCGCTGCTTCTCGCCACTTGCTCTCTCTCTTTCTCCAACAAATAAACATTTTTTTTTTTTAAAAAAAGGTTAATAGTTAAGGCCTTGCAGCTTTTTTGCTGCCTGAGAGAGGAGACCTGAGTTGGGCTTGAAGTTCACCCATGTCTCAGCAACAGTGAGAAAGGAGGAAGGGAAGTGTCTCGAGCAGGAGGCATAATACTGACATTGGGAGTCAAAAGGAGACAATGGGTGGAAAGATATTCATAATATACTATGATCAGAGATTTCAAAGCAGCATGTATATAATTCCATTTTTTTTTTTTAAGAGAGAGAGAGAGAGTGCAAATGAGGGGCAGGGGGAGAGGGAAAGAGAGAATCTGAAGCAAGCTCCATACTCAGTAAGGAGCCTGATGCGGCACTCGAGCTCATGACCCTGAGATCATGACCTGAGCTGAAATCAAGAGTTGGATGCTTAACTGACTGAGCCAGCCGGGTGCCCCATAATTCCATTTTTAGTGAAGAGTTGACTCTAAAAAATTACTAGAAGGTATCTGGGTTGTGAAATGACAAGTGATACTTGTTTCCTTTCTTATTTGTATCTTCTGATTTTCTGCAATTAATTTGTATTTCTTGCATAAAGAAAAGTTATTTTACCAAAGAATAGAAATTCTATAAGCAAAACAAGAAAGAAGGTGGGAAAAATTATTTACGACAAATGAGAAAGGGCTAATTTCTTTGAGAGACTCTTACAAATCACTAAGAAATAGCTGACCCTCCCTGAAACCCAGGCAGAGGATCTGAACAGGGAGATTCAGAACAGGCAGGGAAGGAGCTCCTGGTGGTGTTGCTTTGCTACTGTTCCCCCGCCTCCTGGCGGGTGACCAAGACTTGCTCAACCTGGGACTCAACAGAGTCCTTCACACGGATTTTCTCGTTTGAGCCTCAGAACAATGTCATGAAATAGGTAGTCTTGTCACCCCCATTTTACAGAGGAGGAAACAAAGAACAGTAAGGCTAAGTGACTTGTTCTCTGATACCGGATCTCCATCTACCACGGTGTAGCTGCCACAGGTGTATAAATGGAACAAAAAGATATAGTGAAAGATGTGCAAATCAAATCAGTGAGACACTGGTCGCTTTTACTGTCAGATTGCCAGAGATGAGAAAACATGGTGCCAGTGTTGGGGAGAGTGTGGGAAAACGGGCAGTTTTTGCACTGTCAGTGTGGGTGTAAATAGCTGTATCGGTTTTTGGAGGGTCATTTGGAGACTTGTTTAAATTACTTAAACCGGGTTAGTGCATGGTCAGAATTTACCTGCAGAGATATTAGCAAAGGAATGGTGAACAACCCAACCACTCATGAAAAGGTTAATAGGGGCTAAGCAGTTAAGCGTATGCCTTTGGCTCAGGTCATGATGTTGGGTCCTGGGATCGAGGCCCACCCTGGGCTCCTCGCTCAGCAGGGAGTCTGCTTCTCCCTCTCCCTCCGCTGCTCCTTGCCACTCGCTCTCTCTCTTTCTCCAACAAATAAAATCTTTTTTTTTAAAAAAAAAAGGTTAATAGTTAAATGTATTACGATTTCTCCATACCATGGTTACATGCGATGGGCTCCTATGGAAAACTCTCCAGAACCCAACATGAAGTGTAAAAGGTTTGGTCTGTGTGCACATGGGCTGACAGCCCCACAGCTTTTCCTGGAGGTGAGCAAAACCCCTTTAACAATGGGCACTTTTGGGAGATGGATGGGAGTTGAAGGGAGGGAGACTCATGTACTGAAATTGTTTTTCTTCTGTACCATACCTGCTTTTTCCCTAACATGTTAATTCCTACTTTTATCTCAGCAAACAACCCAGTACACTTTAAAGGTAATGATCCTCTTGCTAGTTAAAGAGGTAACAAGGGGCCGACCCCTGGCGGCGCACATAGCCGGTCCCACCTCCCTGGCTCCACGCAGGTCACTGCTGTATGGGTGTAGAACACAGTGTCTGACTAGAAGAACAAATTATTAAGACTTTTAAAATATAAAATGCTGACCAAATTGGAGTTCTTTGGTTTCTATGGAGCCATAGGAAACTGGCAGGCCCGTGAGCGGTTACGGTAGCTTGAATGTTCTCAGAGGCATGCTGCAGGCCTGTTTCTGTCCACCTGCGAAGTTGAGCTACATGTCGCTGTGCCTATCAGTTTCCGTTTGGGAACACTTTTGGAAAGGAATCTTTGAGATGAAAAATGACATGGTGATGGGGATTCATAATGTGAGGGAGAGGTATGGCGGACTGAGAAGGCTGATTCCAAGCCCGTCAGCACCCTGTCATCATGTCCACCTTCGTCTGTGATTTTGTGTGCTGCCGTGCAATTCCAGGATTCCGGGAAGCTCCTTGTCGGGCTTGTGAACTTCGAGCTTGCAGACTTCAGTAATACAGCATGTAATGGACCTACTCTGTAATCTGTCTAATAGTAAACATAGCAGTTTCATTTCAGATTCCGATTTTAGTGATAGGTTAGCAGTTACTTTAATATAATAGTCTTTTACTTCTTATAGGATATAGAATAAAGGTGTATTTTGTACAGATGCTTAGTGCAGTTATTCTGAACTTTAATGCATTTGCTTTTTAAAAAAATAAGAGCTTTCTTGAGCTATAATTCACATAACCATATAATTCACTTATTTAAAATATACAATTCAGTGGTTTTTAGTGGCATCACAAGAGTTGTGCAGCCATGACCATAATCAGTTTTAGAATTTTCATCACCTCCCCAAAGTCCCTGTAGCTATTAAATATGCTTCTTTAAAGAAGAAATCACAAAGGAAAAATCAATAGTATGATTATAGCGTAGAAAAATGTATGCCTCTAGTGTTAAATGGAAAACACAAAATACAAAATTATAATAACTACACAGAAAAATGAATAGAAACAAAAAAAGACTGAAAAAGAAAAATTAGTTTTTAATTGCTATTTACAGACCGATTGCTATATTTGTAGTAGCCCAGGGATCAAGGTATAAAATTAACCAAGGATTGAATGCATGTGTGTAGTTTTTAAAAACCAGTTCCCATGTAAGTGCTTCTGGAAACTTCCATCTGTTGGCAGTCTGTCTCTCCTCCCCACCTGATAACTGTATGGCGCACAGAATTCTCTGACCATACAGATTCAGCTTCAGAGTGTAGAAGCCTGGTTGCTTGTTTCTAGTTTAGTATTATTATCAGAATTGCCAGTTTCTGCTTCTGCTACCATATGAGATGACGCAAGAATCCTGGCACTTACTAGTAATGCTGCTTAGGAAAAGTTTTTGAGCCAAGAGAAAAGTTGGAAGACGCCCTTTGGAGATAGATGAAGTTCAGGCTGAGAAAAGAGAAGGAACAGACAGACATCACCCCTGTTGAGAGTTCTCTTAGCCAGAGTCGGAGATGTGCTAGAGGAAGTGTCTTAAGAAGCCCAGAGTAGTTTAGGGCGCCTGGCTGGTGTATTGGTTAAGTGACCCAACTCTTGGTTTTGGCTCAGGTCGTGATCTCAGGGTTGTGGGATCGAGCCCCGTGTCGGCCTCCACATTCAGCACAGAGTTCGCTTGGGACTTTCTCTCCTCCCTCTGACCCCCCCCGCCAAATAAAGAAAATCTTGAAAAAAGAAGAAGAGTAGGGACTTGTGGACTGAGTCCAGGGTCAGTATCAGTGTCGATCTGGAAGGCGGAAGCAACTGCACGGATATGGTCTCAGACCGGCATCCACTCTGTGCTGCTCTGACTGGAGTCAAAGGTCAGGAGAAGGGACATATCACGGGACTTGGGTGAAAGTGTTGAGTGTCCTGAGAATGCAATTTTCAGAATTCGTCCAGGAAGAACAGAGGGAAAACTTGACTGTCCCCAGTGGGTAATAAAGTACAAAGACTGTCCTTGATACTGGCGGTGTCCCGGGCCTGGGCCGGTGCTGATCCTCTGCCTTTCTGCAGGCGACCCTGCCCTCAGCATGAGCCACTGGATGTTTCATCAGCAGGCCCTGCAGGAGTACATCCTCATGTGCTGCCAGTGCCCTGCGGGGGGGCTTCTGGATAAACCTGGCAAGTGAGTGCCTTCTCTCAGGGGAGGGGGCCATGGGGAAGGGAGGGAGGGTGTGCCATTCAGGCCTACCCAGGGCTCTGCAGAGGGCAGCAGCTGCTGACCTTTAAGAGTCCGGTATTCGGGGGTGGGGTGTGGGGAGTCTATTTGCGTCCAGCTGCTTAGTTGTGGTGGGGGCACCCCCTTCCAGTGCCATCCTGGCATCCTCAGTGCCCATCCTTTCCCCATGCTTATGTGCACCCCCCCCCAGGTAAGTCATACAGATTGCTGGTGCATAGCTTTTCTTTCCTCCCCCACTTTTTTTTTTTTAACTAAACTGATCTAAATAGAACAGGATACAGGATTTTAAAACCCTTGAGTGTCGTAAACAGAAATTATAATCACCACTGTTGCCACATACACTGGATATCTTTAGGCACCACAGTCAAAGCAAAGGGAAATCAGATAAATCCTGTCCCATGGCTACTGGGCTTGGACACACCCTGCCCCAGCTGACACACTGGGGAAGGCCCAGCTCCGGGCTAGTCTCGAGCAGTTGATCGGGAAGAACGTGGCCAGTTTCCAGGCATTTTGGTAGTCTTTCAGAGAAGTATATTAACTTAGCACCAGCACCACCCTGGAGAGCCCTTTCTAGAAGACCAGAGGGAAGAAGAAGAGGAGGGACCCCAGAGGGGCCAAGCCCACGGGGACAGTTCCCGCTGTGGGCCAGGGCGGAAGGACGGGGCTTTGAGAAAGGCTGCTGGGTGGCAGTGGGACGTGGGGGTGCATCCTGGGTCTGGATCTCTTGTGGGAGGCTGCGCCTGTGGGGATCTGTGGGGAGCAGAGGAGCCCTTGCTCAGAGGGCTTGTCCTCACCTTGTCCTTGCAGGTCTCGGGACTTCTACCACACCTGCTACTGCCTGAGTGGCCTGTCCATAGCCCAGCACTTTGGCAGTGGAGCCATGTTGCACGATGTAGTCCTGGGAGTGCCGGAAAATGCCCTGGTAAGGTGGGATGGCAGATGTGATACCTCTTCTGCACAGGGCCCCCAGGATGGGGCTTACCAAGAGAGCAGAGCAGCTGCTCTTGCCGTGCAGAACCCTCTGTGCATATCCTGTGCGCGGGCCCGCGAGCACACTGTTCCCCCAGACCCTCCTGGATTCACACGTTCCCGGAGGAGCTTGTGACTGAGAGGAAACTACCAAAAGGCAAACTCAGGCTTCCAGGTCGGGGGGTGGGGTCTAGTCTGCCACAGAGGATCTGTGCCTTTACCCCCTGCCTCAGGACCCAAACCTCTTAACCATTAGTTCCTCAAAGGGAGCTGCTCAGAGGCAGTAAGTTTCTGGAATCTGCAGCCACACAGCGCTGGCGCATGGCCTGCTGTCTTCTGGAGCCCTCAGCTGGCATAGCCGCTCTCCCGAGAAGCTTCCAGACTTCCTCTAAACGAGGTCTCCCTGAAATGCATCACCACAGTGCCCTGTTTGTGCCCTCCCCAGCACAATTTGTAATGTGTGTGTTTAACTCGTTTTTGTCTGCCGCCCCCCAAAACTGTCAGCCCCACGAGGGCCGGAAGTTCAGCCCACCTCCAGCCCTAGAGCAGCCCGGCCACAATGAAACACCCCTGAGCCCAGACCTGAGCCTGGGATGTGACTCCAGCTTACACTGTCCATAGCTGACAAATAATGGGGTCCATGCAGACGGTCACAAAATAGCTCCCATAGAAGGAACACAAATGGCCAGGCGATAGACAGAAAGACGCTCAACCGCACTAATAAGCAGAGCAAATCGGAGTAACCATCACTCAGCTTTTTCAAGTCTTAACAGTTTTTTCCATATTTGCCTCCCACACAACCTTTTTCCCTTTGTCTCGCTACCCACCTCCCCAGCATCACCTTGTCCTCAGTTTGACACTTGTCTTGCCAGCCGGTGTCGCTGTGCCATCTCCGTCAACAGCACAGAGAGGGTGTGCTTTTGTGCCTTTTAGAGCATGACCTGCCGCCCGTATCCCGTGCGCTGCTTCTCTTGCCGACCCTGTGCTTGGACACGTATCTGCGTTCATGTGCTGCTCCGGTGTATCCATTGTAACAACTCTACGGTATTCCTGGGTGCAAACGGACGGCAATTTTCCTTCTGTTGGTTAACATGGAGATGGTTTCAGTTCGTGCTGTTGCAGACAGACTCGCCGTGTACTTTCTTGTGTTAGTTTCTCTAGGGGAGATTCGCTGGGTTGAAGAGAACACGCGCTTCACCTTCACTAGACAGCGCCTCCCGCCCCCCTCGGGGTTGTTGCACTCAACGCTCACGCAGAACTCAGGGAACTCGCACCGTTGTCCAACTTCTCCGTTCTGCCGTTTGACACGTGGGAAGTGGTACCTCGGTTTTATGTCTGCCTTCCCCTGATTACTAGTAACCTTGAGCATCTTTCCAGATGCTCATTGACCATTTGTATTGTATCTTCCGTGACTTGGCTGCCGGCTGCTTGCTTTCTTGCTGATTTGTGATTTTTTTTTTTTCCTCTCCTTTTTTTTTTTTTTTTAAATTTTATTTTTTATAAACATATATTTTTTTTCCCCAGGGGTACAGGCCTGTGAATCGCCAGGTTTACACACTTCACAGCACTCACCATAGCACATACCCTCCCCAATGTCCATAACCCCACCCCCCCTCTCCCAGCCCCCCTCCCCCCAGCAACCCTCAGTTGCTGATTTGTGATTTTAATTGTTTGCCCTTTTCTCATACATTTGTTGGAGTTCTCCGTGTGTTGATAGTAATCCTCTGTCGGTAGTGTGTATGTAGAGTCTCTTCCAGTTCGTGGCTTGTCTTTTCGCTTTTCATGTTTTTTTTTCTTGCTCTTGAAAAGGAGATTTTTAATTTTATAGTGAACAATGTTATTGCCTTTTCAGTTTTTGAGGGTGTGGAGGGGAGGGATACTTAAGAAATCTTTCCCTACCCTGAGGTCATACTTACATTTTCTTCCAAACAGTCTAAAGTTTTGCCTTTCCCTCTAGATTTTTAATTTTCTTGGAATTGATTTTTGTCTGTTGGATATAATTTTCTCTTTTTCCCATGTGGATGAACAGTTGACCAGCCCCACTACTAACTGAAGTTTACAACTGTCCTACTGATGTGTGTCCCGTACGTCCCGTACTCGAGTTTCTGTATCCGAGGTGACTCTTCTGTTCCTTTGGTCTGTTTGCCTTATTGCACTGTCTTAAGCAAATCTTAAATGCAGGTAGGCAAGTCCCACCCACTTTGTTCTTTTCACTCGAAATTGCCTTCCTATTCTTTGCTTTTTGCTTTTTCCTGTGGATTTTAGGATCAGCTTACCAAGTCCCACAAAAAACTATAATGGAATTTTTATGGGAATTTGCATTGGACTTAAGATTAATGGGAGAGAACTGACTTCTGAGGCTTTCCATTTGTGAACACGATTTTTCAGATTATCTTACACGTCCTTCAGTGGTGTTTTATCATTTTCTCCATAAAAGACTAGCATATCTTTTGTTAGACTTATGCCTAGGAAATTTATAGCTTTTGTGTCTGTTGTGATTGGATTTTTCTTCCTTTATATTTTGTAACTGGTTTTTTACTAAAGTACAGAAATGATATTTATATTTTAATTTTGTATCTAGCCACCTTGCTAAACTTACTTAGTAGTTGTAATAGCTTGTAGAATCTCTTAGATTTTCTACTTAGAATGTGGCGTTATTTTAAAATGAGGACAGTTTTGCCTTTTTCTTTCTGGTTCTTTTTTTTTTTTTTTTTAAGATATTTATTAGAGTGTAAGTAGGAGGAGAGTACAAGTAGGGGGAGGGGCACAATGAGAGGAAGAGAGAAAATTCTCAAGTAGACTCTGACATGGGGCTCCATCCCATGACCCTGAAATCACAACTTGAGCTGAAACCAAGAGTTGGACATTCAACCAACTGAGCCACCCAGGCACCTCTTTCTTTCTGATTCTTAAGAGTTTTATTTCTTTTTTCTGCCTTGAGATACTGTCTAAGGTCCCCATAGAGTGCTGACTGGAGACAGTCATGGGGGTGCTCCTATCTTGCTTCTGGTTGTAATGCGAAGGCGTTTATAATTTCACCATTATGTAGGATCCTTACTGTTGTTTTTATTTTAAGATTTTATTTATTTATTTGAGAGAGAGAGAGCACAAGCAGAGGGATGGGCAGAGGGAAGGGGAGGTTCTCTGCTGAGCAGGCAGCCTGATGTGGGGTTGGACCCCAGGATCCTGGGATCGTGACCTGAGCAGAAGGCAGACCTTAATGACTGAGCCACCCAGGCACCCCTGAGGGTTTTGACAAATACTCCCTATCTGGTTAAGGATGTTACTTACCTTCACTTCCTGGTTTGCTAGGTTGTTGTTTTGTTTCAATCATAATCTAATATTAAATTTTATTGAGTGCTTTTTCTGCACCTGATTTTCTCCTTTAATCAAATATGCTACTGTTAATAAATGTTCTGATGATAACCTTACATTCCCAGGATCAGCCCTTCTTGGTCATAGGACAGTGTGTGTGTGTGTGTGTGTGTGTGTGTGTGTATTTAATACATTGCTAGATTCAGTTTGCTAGTATTTTTTTGGCCAGTATTTTTATTTAGGATTTTTTGCAAGATACTCAAAAGAAAAACTGATCTAAAAATTTTGTTTTATTGTATTGCTTTTTCCAGTTTATATTTCAGGATACTATCATAGCCTCATAAAATTAGATGGGTATCTTCTCTCCCTGTCATACCCCCCCATCTTTTTTTTTTTAAGTCTTTGAGAACGCTTGTACAGGTTAGAGATGATCTGTTTCTTGTAGGTTGATAGCACTTGCTTGAAGAGCCATCGAGGCCTGGTATCCTGGGGCAAGAACGATGGTAGCAGAATAAGCAGTTGTTTTATTGATTTAATTTAGTCATATGTTTTAAAGAGCTTCTTGAGTAAATTTTGAAAATTATATTGCTCTATAGAGTTATTGAGTTTATCTGTACTTTTATATATTTTGGCATAAAATCGCTCATAGTATTCTCTCTTAGAAGTTTTAAAACCTCGGGGCACCTGGGTGCTCAGGCATTGAGCATCGAACTTTTTGATTTTGGCTCAGGTCATGATCTCGGGTGTTGAGATCAAGCCCTGCAAGGGGCTCTGGACTCAAGGTGCAGTCTGTTTGGAATTCTTTCCCTCTCCTTCTTCCTTCCTGCCCCACTCACTCTCGCTCTCTCTCTAAAATAAACAAATAAAATGTTAAAAAATAAGCTTTTAAACCTCTCCTACAGTTCTGTTCCTTTCTTCATTCTTCCCAAATGGAAGAGTCCTGAATACTGGCCCCCAGCTGTACTCTGTCTTAGACCCAAAGTTTCTGTTGGGTTTCTGTGAGGGAATGGAATAATATAAAAGAATTTAAATATGGCCTGACACATTTACTGCATCATAGGGTTGTGTTCCTTTTTCAGTATTACAAATGTAAATACATGATGATTGTTTTAATAATTGGAATATATATAAAAGTACAATTAAGAAAATTTAAAACAATCACATCACTATTCCTATTTGGGTGTTGTGTCCGACTTCTGCCTATAAATCACATCTATGAACACATTTTCGAAAAGTTTAGGATAACATGCATACCGTTTTCCTCCATGAGCATTTGCCCATCATTACATATTTTGAAAGCATGTTTTTAAATGGCTATATAGTAGTCCTTTGTGTCCCACGTAGTGTTCAATGTTTATACTAATATCTTGTCTTTGGACATCAGGGCCTTGTGGGTGGATCTCCTCGGTGTCTCTGATGAGTCCTCCTTCTGATAAATGCTTACAAGTGCATTGAATTTAACGGCTTCTTTACTGAATTTAACGGCTTCTTTACTGAAGGCTGTGCCCATTCCCAGGGACCACTGGGGCTGCTAACTGGCCTCTGTCCTTCTCTTTGCAGCAGCCCACTCACCCTGTGTACAATATCGGACCAGATAAGGTGATCCAGGCCACCATGCACTTTCTGCAGAAGCCAGTCCCCGGCTTTGAAGAGCGAGAGGACGAGGCACAAGCACAGCCCGCCACCGCCTAGAAGACAAGGCTCCCATGGCTCTCTGCTCACCCACCTCCCCGGTCAGACCAAGGTGTATACATTTCGATACGTACCACATTCTGTGCTGCATAAGCCTTGGCCACTATGGGGCTGTGGTCCTTTGTCCTTTCCTGTCAAACAAAACAAAACTGATGGCTCTGGGTTTGGAGAACTTAGTGGCGTGGTTTTTTAAAAAGTCTTTCCACCTCTGTCAAACCAAAAATCTGTCAGCCCGCGTGGCACCTGAACCTGGCTCTGGCCTGGCCTGGGTTGTTGGGGAGCGATGCGCCCTGGGCAGAAGCAGCCCTCGCCACCAGCTCTCCAGCCTGGACAGTGGTACTGAAACGAAAGGCATCTATGAGTCACTGCTGCCTCCCCCCCCCCCACTGTCCCCGTACGCCACCCTTAAGTCTCCAGGAAGGTGCTGTCCTGCGGGTGGAAATAAGTGCTCTGTGCCAAGGGGGAGGGGGAGCTTTGGTCCCATCAGACTGAATTCTCTAGAAAAAATCATGGTGGGACTTCACTATGAGATGCCCAAGGCTGCAGGGGAAGGGAGCCACGGGTGGGGGAGAAAGGTCTCCTTGGGTTGTGAGCTCCTGCCCCTCTGCCTGGAGAACCGAGCCACACTCTCCCCAAGGGCCCCCGATGGGTGCGCAGGCGCTTTGCTTCAGCCACCCGGGTGGTGACTTCGACCCAGGAAGCCAATTATGAGTGGAAATGAACCTCTAGCTCGGTTCTGCACCCGAGGAAGCAGCCCCAGTGCGCACCCCTCTCCCGCCCCATCATGTGAAAACCCCTCTCAGTGACCCCTCTGCGTGTTTCCATCTCCGTCAGACCCCCAGCCCGGCCCCCTCAGAGATGGTGTTGTCTTCTCTCATCCCAAGTATTAATGCTACTAAGTCTTTCACCTTAATTTGACTCAGGATTTATTCACGTCCTGCCCACTCTGGGCCCCAGACATAAAATGAAGTGCTTGGTGGGCCGGCTGCTGGTGAGGCCGGAGCCGAGGAACCCTGGCTGAGGTGGGCGGGGGGCCGCCCCACATGCTCAGCCTGTCCGGGCCTCTGCGGCTCACAGGGAACCCTTTCTCAGTCAGCGTGGTGTCGAGCTGGGCCATCTGTCCACTGCTGCAGTCCCAGCACACTCCGCGTGGCTGACCTGGCCTTCGTAAGCAGCCATGGACTACGGGCCGGCAGGCGCTCAGAGATGCAGCATGAGGCCCTTCTCAAAAACTCCGCCCTTTGCTGCCTCTAATTCCCTATTGCTTTGGCGGATTGGGCTATATGTATTATTACCTCCTTGAAATAATAAAAGAATGACCTTTTCAATGATGTCTCTCATTTGTGACTGGTACCAAGAAAATTCCCTCAGAACGTCCAGTGCTGGGAGTTACTGAAGGCTGTTCGTGGATCGCCCGTCTCCTGTGTGCAGGTTTCCAGACCCTGCATGGGAGCGAAGACAGGCGTCTGGCTTGGGCTCCACCTTTAGACACGTCCTCCAGCTGAGGCCACAGTGGACCTAACGCACAGTGAGAGAAGCTCTGTCTTTCCCAATTTGATTTACTCCCCAGCACTCTGTACACCACGTCTCGTGGTCTGTGTCTGTCTCCTCCCTCTGACTCTAGGCAGGGGCTGTGCTCCGAGTCCTAAGGCAAGCAAGCACTCAGCCACAGGTGGGGGTAGTCGTCCTGACCAGGGGCAGGGGGCTGCCACAAGAACACGAACAGGCCAGAGTCCTGCGGTCACCTGGCTTTCCTCCAGGGGTGAGGAGAGGGTGCCCTCCTCTCGGAATATAATCCCTGTCCCTGTGCTGTCATTGCCCTGGTAACAGCTTGGGCTACAGAGCAGCATGGGGAGAGGCATGCTGGCCATCACCTTAAGGAAAGGTCAAACCCTCGCATGCCTGGAGCCTCACACGTTATTAGGGGTTGGGTTGCAGTAATGGGTGTGGTTAAGAGATGGAAGGGATTGCTCGGGTGTGAGCTGGCTTTATGACACCCAGGCAGGAGGGTGTGTGCTGGCTCAGGGGTAGGTGAAGTGTGCCTCCCAGAGAAGAGAGGGTCGTTTGCTGGCACTCTTTTATCTCTGGGCTTTACGCTGGCATAATCACGAGACTCCCTGCTCCCAGTTGGGTCTGGAGGATTTCCTGACTTTGACAGCGTTCAAGTGAGTGCTGGACAGAAATTCTCAAATGTATCATGCGGCTCCTTAAGTAGAAGACACTGATGTTGCATTCAACGTGGGGTCCATCAGGAAATAAATACAAAGCTACCACAGATGTCTGTATCCAGATGGGCTCCAGCTTTCCCCTTGGATGCATTTCAGACCCACCTTGAGCCCCATATAAGTCGGGCAGCCTGCTAGATTCTCCTGTGAGCAGAAGGGGAGCCTCCTAGATAAGCAGACTTCCCTGGAAAAACAGTACGAGCCAACCATATTCCTACACTGCCTTCTCTTCGTGGCATCGTTTCTGAGTTAGAAACCACCCATCAGATTCTGGCCACTGTGTTGGGAGCAGGGCAGTCCTATCCTTGATGAAGGCTCCTTCTCATGAAGACTTCACACAAAAGTATATGCCATAATATTAAATAACAGCTCCACGATGGCCTTCCTTTGAGAACCAGCCTTAGATCTCAGCATGCAGCTTCCTGGTGATTGAACTTAGCAGAGATGGAGGCTAGGAACCCCTGGCAAGGTGGCTGCTCCTATGACCTTGGCTATTTCATTAATGTTAACTTTCTATGCCAGACTCGTGACAGGAGCTTCATAGGAGGAAGAGTAGAGCCCCCAGTGCCCTCTATTGTTGGGAGAAGTGGAATCCGTTGGCTTCAGATGTCAGATGCACGGATCCCAGTGGTGCCATTCTGTTGTGAAGAGCGAGGAGGTTGTCTGGTCTTCCCACCAGCTTGCCACTGATCCTACCTCCTTGTGGAAGGAGGCTGCTGGGCTATCTGCAGGAATTCTCCAGTAGCTTCGGCATCCCAACTCCAAGGGAAGGGTCATGGTCTGGGACAGGGAAATGAATGCTCTTTATGTCTGGAGGCTTTCTTAGGGCCTGTGTCGTCCGAACGATGCAGAGACTAAATATTAACAAAGATGCGGGACGGCTCTCATTCTCTGTCTGGGCTAACTTCAGTTCGATGAAAACTTGCTTTCCTAATGCTGGTAATCAGACCTGAGGCTAATGATACAGAGGTCTATCATGGAGGTCGACTCACTGTGGTATCCATTTGGGAATGCAGGCCTTCAGCTGAGGCAGAAGTATTTGCTATTTTATTAGTCTACCATCTACACCAGGGGGCAGCAAATTTTCTCTGTAAAATGCCAAATACTAAATATTTTTATTTATTTTATTTATTTTTAAAGATTTTATTTATTTATTTGACAGAGATCACAAGTAGGCAGAGAGAGAGGAAGGGAAGCAGGCTCCTGCTGAGCAGAGAGCCCGATGCGGGGCTCGATCCCAGGACCCCAGGATCAGGACCTGAGCCAAAGGCAGAGGCTTTAACCCACTGAGCCACCCAGGCGCCCCCAAATACTAAATATTTTAAGCTTTGCAAACAACTGGTCAACTTCAGTCTGCCCTTGGAGTACAAAACAGCCACAGACTTTATGAAAACAGGCGGTGGGCGAGATTTGGCCAGGTGGGCTGTACTTTGCCTCCCCCTGATCTAGGCTAAATTCCATCCGTGTTCATTCAACATTCTTCCTCATCTTTCCATGTAATGCTAGTCTCAGATGACAGCCGTGCTCGGTAAAGTTTGTACCAAAGACTCCAGACACCCACACGTGCCGTTCAGGGATTCTATTGCCTTTGAACAGGAAGGAGAATTGTATGATTTAAGACATGGTTACAAGCGGCTTAAAGTGAAGAGGAAATGTGTTGATTCACAGAGATGACCAGGAATTAACCTGGCTGTATGGCTTTGGTAGATTTCTCCCCCTTTCTCCATCTTTCTATATCAGCTCAACTCTCAGGCTCTCTCCATGGGAGTGTAAAATGGTGGCAGCAGTCGCTCCAGGCCTTGTCTCCTCTTAGGGTGAAGTTCTGCAGACGAGAGGCTGGCACCGGCCCAGTCTTCCTTCCTGGCAAGTGTCACTGCGTTTCATGGGCTTTGATCAAGCCAAGTACCTTTCCGAGAAGTGGTCTTGTGGCCAGGAGATTAGAGGGCACTGACTGACCTAAGTCTTTATCACATGCTTCCCCGCATGAGTGGGAAATGTGGTTCCATCAGAAACACATAGTCTAAGCATGGGGGGAGGAATGAAGCCCCAAATGCAAATTAGGGTTGTAGCCAAATGGAGGGACATGGATGCTAAGGAGACAAATCACCATTGCTCTCTACAACAGCGGATTATTACTGGGACGGAAACCTGTGGTGGACATGGTCGGCATCCATTCCTCCACTCCCCAACTGTGGCGGCCAGTAGGCCTGTGTGGATCTGATTCCCTTCCTACCTCCAGGTCCAGGCCCCGACTGGCCTAAGCCAGTTGTTTTAATCCGTCCCTCTTTGCTTCAGTAATTTGTTCACATCTGGCAATAACCCAAGCGGAAGCCAGTCAAATGGTTTGTCTGCGGGGATGGCCGCGGGGCCAAGCACATGGCCTGAAACAGACCAGAGAGGGAGAAGCCCTGGACATTATATGATGGAGGAAAAGCACCTTTCTCCTGTGAGGGAATGTGTGGTCTGGGACTCCTACAACCATTTTCCTACCTAGAAGGAAGCCAGTCTTAGAAGCAGTACACACACTCCCTGACTTACTGAGAAACATGGCCAGACCCCTGAGCACATCGCTCCTGCAGCTTGCCTGGTCTCTGGCTTTTTCAGCTATGTGAGCCAACCTGAGTTGGATTTAACACATAGTTAAATTAACCTGGCTGTATGGCTTTGGTAGATTTCTCCCCCTTTCTCCATCTTTCTGTATCAGCTCAACCCTCAGGCTCTCTCCATGGGAGTGTAAAATGGTGGCAGCAACCAAAAGCATCCTAAAATATATGAAACTCTACCCCATATCAGCCCCTGGGGCATCAAAGTCCTTACCTGCTGAAGGACACGGACCACCCTTGCCACATCCATCCAAAGAATAACCCCTAAGAGAGTTCCTCCTGATCTCCTGCCTTGTCTCATTTGATCCTTGACTCAGCCTCATGAGGTGGGTGAGGCAGGTGGATTATCTGCATTTTATAGCTGTAGAAGCAGGGCAGAGAGCTTCAGTGAATCACCCGTGTTTGTTAGCTACTGAATAGTGGAGTCTGAACCTGACCCCGGATTCGCTGCCTCCAAGCCCATGGGTGTCCCTCCCCGTAGGTGTTTAAAGGAAGGTGAAATGGATGGTCTCAGGAATGGGGGCCAGAGCTAAACACACATGGGTTACCT